CATTGCCCCCCTATCCACCCTGTCATACGCCTTTTCCAAATCCATAAATGCCACAAAGACCTCTTTAGCCTTATCGAAATACTGTTCACTTATATGTTTCACTGTAAACACCTGGTCCACACACCCCCTACCTTTCCTAAAGCCTCCTTGTTCATCTGCTATCCTATTCTCCGTCTTACTCTTAATTCTTTCAATAATAACTCTACCATACACTTTACCAGGTATACTCAACAGACTTATCCCCCTATAATTTTTGCACTCTCTTTTGTCCCTTTGCCTTTATACAAAGGAACTATGCATGCTCTCTGCCAATCCCTAGGTACCTTACCCTCTTCCATACATTTATTAAATAATTGCACCCAACCACTCCAAAACTATATCCCCACCTGCTTTTAACATTTCTATCTTTATTCCCATCAATCCCGGCTGCCTTACCCCCTTTCATTTTACCTACTGCCTCACGAACTTCCTCCACACTCACAACTGGCTCTTCCTCACTCCTACAAGATGTTATTCCTCCTTGCCCTATACACGAAATCACAGCTTCCCTATCTTCATCAACAGTTAAACAATTCCTCAAAATATTCCCTCCATCTTCCAATACCTCTAACTCTCCATTTAATAACTCTCCTCTTCTATTTTTAACTGACAGATCCATTTGTTCTCTAGGCTTCCTTAACTTGTTAATCTCACTCCAAAACTTTTTCTTATTTTCAACAAAATTTGTTGATAACATCTCACCCACTCTCTCATTTGCTCTCTTTTTACATTGCTTCACCACTCTCTTAACTCTCTCTTTTTCTCCATATACTCTTCCCTCCTTGCATCACTTCTACTTTGTAAAAACTTCTCATATGCTAACTTTTTCTCCCTTACTGCTCTCTTTACATCATCATTCCACCAATCTCTCCTCTTCCCTCCTGCACCCACTTTCCTGTAACCACAAACTTCTGCTGAACACTGTAACACTACATTTTTAAACCTACCCCATACCTCTTCGACCCCATTGCCTATGCTCTCATTAGCCCATCTATCCTCCAATAGCTGTTTATATCTTACCCTAACTGCCTCCTCTTTTAGTTTATAAACCTTCACCTCTCTCTTCCCTGATGCTTCTATTCTCCTTGTACCCCATCTACCTTTTACTCTCAGTGTAGCTACAACTAGAAAGTGATCTGATATATCTGTGGCCCCTCTATAAACATGTACATCCTGAAGTCTACTCAAGAGTCTTTTATCTACCAATACATAATCCAACAAACTACTGTCATTTCGCCCTACATCTTATCTTGTATACTTATTTATCCTGAAGGTGGGGTGTTAATGTTGCAGTTTAAAAACTGTAGTGTAAAGCACCCTTCTGGCAAGACAGTGATGGAGTGAATGATGGTGAAAGTTTTTCTTTTTTGGGCCACCCTGCCTTGGTGGGAATCGGCCAGTGTGATAATAAAAAAAATATATAATAATAAAATTATTTATCCTCTATTTCTTAAAATATGTATTACCTATAACTAAACCCCTTTCTATACAAAGTTCAATCAAAGGGCTCCCATTATCATTTACACCTTGCACCCCAAACTTACCTACCACACCCTCTCTAAAAGTTTCTCCTACTTTAGCATTCAGATCCCCTACCACAATTACTCTCTCACTTGGTTCAAAGGCTCCTATACATTCACTTAACATCTCCCAATATCTCTCTCTCTCCTGTACATTCCTCTCTTCTCCAGGTGCATACACGCTTATTATGACCCACTTTTCACATCCAACCTTTACTTTAATCCACATAATTCTTGAATTTACACATTCATATTCTCTTTTCTCCTTCCATAACTGATCCTTCAACATTACTGCTACCCCTTCCTTTGCTCTAACTCTCTCAGATACTCCAGATTTAATCCCATTTATTTCCCCCCACCGAAACTCCCCTACCCCCTTTCAGCTTTGTTTCGCTTAGGGCCAGGACATCCAACTTCTTTTCATTCATAACATCAGCAATCATCTGTTTCTTGTCATCCGCACTACATCCACGCACATTCAAGCATCCCAGTTTTTATAAAGTTTTTCTTCTTCTCTTTTTTAGTACATGTCTACAGGAGAAGGGGTTACTAGCCCATTGCTCCCGACATTTTAGTCGCCTCATACGACACGCATGGCATACGGGGGAAAGATTCTTTTCCACTTCCCCATGGACAATAGAAGAAATAAAGAAGAACAAGAGCTATTTAGAAAAAGGGGAAAAACCTAGATGTATGTATATATATATATGCATGTGCGCGTCTGTGAAGTGTGACCGAAGTGTAAGTAGGAGTAGTAAGATATCCCTGTTATCTAGCATGTTTATGAGACAGAAAAAGAAACTGTGGATATCAAAACAGTGGACACAGGGGTTCTACTGTACTATGCAAAGAAATGAAATTTGCATTTGCATTGTATAGATAATTGTGTACAGAGTGCATATCTATTACTGTAGCTTAAATGCATTTACTATATCTGTATTTACTTTTAAAAAAATCTGTAATAAGGAAATCACACATGTACATGATTATTGTTAACAAATTAAATACAGTAGGGCCCCACTTCTATGGCAGGTTAGGTTCCAGGCTACTGCCGTAAAGCGGAAATTGCCGCAAAGTGGAACACCCTTTTTTCCACTTATAAATGCATATAAATGCTAGATAACAGGTTTACACTAACATATATTAAGTTAGCAATAGAACTAGGCATTAAAATACACAATAAAAAGTAAAATACACACACAGTACACTTGTTACTTACCTTAAAATATTAATATGAATATATGAAAGGTGAGTGGCAGTGTAAAAGTTTTTCCATGTCAGCAGTAAGTCTGTCTTATTTTTTGGGTTATCCTAGGTTCTCTACACATATGCTGCTATATGTAACTGTATTTGATGGCTATCTCAGCCATTGGTTACCTTGTTAGTAAGTTTATTCAGGTATACACAAATACAGTTGCATAGAATATCATACATAGCAGTCACCATTAACCAGTCACACTGGTCCAAGTCGGACCGAAGATAACCTAAGATAACCCAAAAAAGTCAGTTCACTAAGTTTAAACATTTCTAACTTGGCACTTAACCCTTAAACTGTCCGAACAGATCTACATTCACATGCGTAGTTCTCCAAAAGTAGATCTACATTCTTTTACATATTTTCAAATATAACAAAAACAAAAAAATGTAGATCGAAGTTTTTTTACACATTTTCAAATGTAAAAAAAAAAAGGTCTACGTTTTTTTACATACATGTACTTTCAAATGTTGAAAAAACGTAGATCTACGTTTGGACAGTTTAAGGGTTAAAGTAAGAGACCTATGACTCTTCTTTTTATCACAACCAACTATGTATCATGTCAGAATAAATTATTATTATTATTATTATTATTATTAACAACTAAGCTTAGACACCATCGTCAACAAGAGCCAAGAAGTTAGCGAAATAGTAAACAAGAGAGAATGAGATACACAGAGTTCAGACAGTAAGTAAGTAAGTAAGTTTATTCAGGTATACACAAATACAGTTACATAGAATTATCATAAATAGCAGCATATGTGTAAAGAACCTAGGATAACCCAAAAAAGTCAGACAGAGTGACTTATGTAGGAAATGTACTGTAAAAACAAACTGAATGGGTGGCGGGCGATCACTCGGTCGAGTGAAATAAACGAGTATTAATACACATCCAATTTTAGTTCATTCATGTGCGTTTGTAAGAGTTTGTGAAACTTTTACGTCACATTATTTTTTTTATTATAATAATAATTACCTCACAATACAATTACCTCACAATACTTGTACACAATACATTGTGTACAAGTTGCACAACTTAGTACAGACGAATAAATACACAGCAACACTCCCATTCTCCTGAAACACACCATTTTTAGAGTGAATGATATTATTATTGCAGTGGAACCTTGGTATGCGACCAGCTCCTTACTCAAACAAAGCTCAGCACTCAACCAAACAAATACGTACGACCTGCCAGAACTTCGCTGTAAACTGTTTCATGTTTCTTCGCATTTTTTGGTATTTTTTTTTTGTATTATTTGTATAAATAAGTCACCATGGGGCCTATGAAGATTAGTGATAACAGCCAACCAAGCAGAAAATTGGTTGGGAAGAACTTGTTCGATACTCAGACGGAGCAGCACTCGAACAACCTTCTGGAATGAATTAAGGTTGCATACCAAGGTTCCACTGTATTATTATAATCATAATAAAAAACAAGTGCTAAACCCACAAGGGTCGTGAATAGCTATGGATAGAGCAAAGGCATATGGAAGGAATATTTTTCTACAGTTATCCCCAGTATCTAGTGTTGGACTAGAGAAAACGTAATTCTTCCTACACACCAAGCCACTTGGTAAATGCATCTCATATTTATGTCAATTTTTATACTGTGGGTGTATCTATCATGTTTTTGTGTTATGTAACATGCTTCTTATATAATTTTGAAAAAATATCATAGCTGGATTAATGGAAATGTCTATATTAACGTAGTGTATAACATTTAATGTGCCCAAGAGATTATTATTATTATTATTATGGCATCTTCAAGAGCAGAGAGACTCTTAGTGGTTTTAATGTGTACCCACATGCCAGCACAGTGTGTAAATATAGTATTTAGGTACAGGTGCACATAAGTATAATTATCAGAGCACAAATAAAATATGCAATAACCCTAAAACACTTGAAATTTTGGAAAGTTTCCAGTCATAATAGAGAGATGTGCTCACGGAGAATGTAAACAAACCGGGTGGGGAGTGGTGACTGTATTAGAAAGACAAGTGGGGGAGTCGTATAGCGAGTTTTGGTCATAATTTGAAGTGTCTGTATTAGCGGAACGCCATGAAGCGAAATGCCATAAAGCGGGGCCCAACTGTACAATAGGTAATAAAATTTAATTGTCAACACTGAGCAGATACAGTATTTGTACTTTTTAAATGAATTTTCATCATACAGTTACTTATTAGATTTACAGACACAAGCAGGGTACCAGCAGATGGACAGTCGGTTTATTGGACTAATTTTCTCTGTATACAATGAAGACAAGAAAACAAAGGTACTGTATTCTGTTATATTTTGTTTTACAAGTCTAAAGTTAGATTTACACATCAGAGTAAATGTTTAAAGAAAAGTTCACTATTTGAAAGTCATGTATCTAATGACAGTAGTGAAACAAATACTTTATGCTTAAATACTGAGTACTTATAAAGTGCGCAAGGAAGACTTTGTATTTATAAAATCGGTGAAACGTGACTCATCATGTCATCAATAAGGGTTATAAAAGAATATTATTGGAATAGGAATGATATAGTACAGTGCAATTTTGTATTTTAGAATCATAAATGTCCTTGAGTCCTGGAAATGGGAAGTACAATGCCTGCACTTTAAAGGAGGGGTTTGGGATATTGGCAGTTTGGAGGGATATATTGTGTATCTTTATACATATATGCTTCTAAACTGTTGTATTCTGAGTACCTCTGCAAAAACAGTGATTATGTGTGAGTGAGGTGAAAATGTTGAATGATGATGAAAGTATTTTCTTTTTGGGGATTTTCTTTCTTTTTTTGGGTCACCCTGCCTCGGTGGGAGACGGCTGACTTTTTGAAAAAAAAAAAAAAAAGTCCTGAGATTGAGATTGTTATAACATTTTGCAGTTATATAAGTAAAGCACAGACATAAAGTAAGTGATAATTTGTGCTTCACATTTTGCAGCACAAATAAACACAAGACAAATTCATTGAATCTTTGTGTCAAAATTATTCGTGCAAATTTTTCTTGTTTTTATTAAGAGTAAATTTTATGGGGTATTAAAGAATTTTTATTCATAGTTTTCAGTTTGAAAGATTAGGCACCAAGAGAGTGAAGTTACTTGTTAGTGAAAATTCTAAGACTAAGTGTGTTATTAAGTGTAGAGTGATGGAGGCTAAGTTCACCATCTGGTAATCACGAGACATACTCTACTCGACTATACTGCTTAATCTGTTGAAAATAAAGATAAACAGACTCAGGCATAAAATGTTTTTTTATCAGTGGTTTATTATAATTACTCTTGGTACTGATAACAAGGTGTTTCCCATAAACTAAAAAGCTTATCAACCACATTGATATTTGCATGTCTGGCACCGATTAACCTGTACATTTTGTACAAACAGGTTCTGGCAGTATAAGAACTGCCATGGGGTCTTACATATGTGGGATAGAAGAAGATATTGAGACTGAATGAGAATAAAGTACAGCACTGTATATGTAGAGAAAGACCAGAATTATAGAGTACTGTTTGTATATACGAGGTAGGAGGAAATCTGCAGAATTATCAGCAGTTTTGCTGTCTGTAGCATTTTGAGATTTTGCTCTTTGATTTACTGTAAATTGAAGAAAACATTGTATTTTGAAAATAATTTCCAAAAGCATTAATGGTTAAAATAATGTTTTTAGGTTGGTAGTCATCAGGTGACTTGTTTCCAAGCAACTAATCAAAGTCCAGAGGGAGAAGCTCCTCAGTACGTTCGTTTGGCTGTTCCTCTGGAGATTCGTCTAACACCTTCACTTGCAATTAACAATCAGCAGGTTTGTAATTTGTCTTTTAAATATTTTTTTTTAACCTAATGGACATTTCCAACCAAGGTAGGGTGACCTAAAGAAGAAAACACATTCACTAACATTGAAGGGTGTGGACTTGGTGGTGGATGGGTATATGAATTGATGAGGGAAAATAGGTGGGTGGTGCATTGAGGCATCTGTGGAGATGAAGAAAGTTATCCATGGAGGTAAAAAGGGGAATGTGTGTGTGTACAGTAATGTGAACACTTATATGGGTGTGAAGAATGGGTTGTGAATGTTGCCATGAGGAGGAGGCTGGAGGCAGTGGAGATGTCATGTCTAAGAGTAACATGTGATGGAAATATTATGCAGAGAATTCATGGAAATAAATGATATAAAATACACTATAGAAATATGAACACATATGCAGTATAATGTGATCCTTTATTGACAACTTTTTGCCCACACAGTGGGCTTTATCAAGTCACAAACAGATCTTATCTTTTTATGACTTGATAAAGCCCACTGCATGGGCAAAACGTTATCAGTAAAGGGTCACATTATAATGCATGTGTGTTTATATTTCTGCAGAGAATTCATATTTTGGACATTAGGAGGAGGTGCAGGGTTAATAAAAGTATTATTCAGAAGGTGGGTGGGGATGGGGGGGGGGAATTATTGGGGTATCTGGACATTTTGAGAGGAAGGAGCAAAATAGGATGACTTGGTGGGTTTATACACAAATAACCCACACATAGGAGAGAGAAACTTTATGATAATGTTTCGGTCCAACTTGGACCATTAACCAGTTACACTAGTTAATGGTCCAAGTCGGACTGAAATGTTGTTATAATGTTTCTTTTTCCTCTGTGCAGGTTATTTGTGTATTGTTCCAGTCACAGTATTGTGCCTCTGTGTTCTTCTTAGCAGGTTTATAAATCTGCAGTGGAGGGAAGGCAGGGTAGGAGTTGCCCAAGGAAACATTGGAGGAGAGGTATAGGTTTTGTGTGCAAGGGGGACTGGACATTCAGTACACATGTGTGAGATAGAAATGACTGGAGGTAAATGGTTTTTGGAACTTGACGAGCTGTTAGAGTGTGAGCAAGGTAACATTTATGAAGGGATTCAGGGAAACCAGTTAGTTGGACATGAGTGCTGGAGTTGGAAAGTATGGTGCCTACACTATGAAGGAGGGGCATCTAAACTAATACTGAGATGCCTCTGGCAAAACAGTGATAGACCGGATGATGGTGAAGGTGTGTCTTCTTTTTGGGGTAGATCTACTTTGGTGGGAGATAGCTGGTGTGTCAAAAACAAAAATTATTTGTAAAGAGTGATGTGTTGCATAGCCGGTGACGTGTCTCAGTAATACTGCAGGATATCAGATTCTTATGAGGTACTTTCTGTATTTGATATATGTATGACCCTGAGCAAGTAGTGCCAAGGTCTTGTGAGTTTTGGATAGGGACATGATACATAATCAGAAGGTAAATGTTGAAAACAAAATTAACACTTGACAGTGGGATGTGTAGGAATGTATTGTAAGTGAAAGGTATGATAACTTGCCCTATTATGATATGAAAAGATGACGTGTAAACTACCATTCTTTTCAGGCCTTAGAGAATCTCTGTTCTACACTCTACGATGAGCAGAGTGAAGTACTACAATTATCTCGGCAGCGGGCCAACCAGTATCCCCTCGCACATCTACACAATTCTGCTGGTAAGCTTGACTTTTACAAATTATATGATATTCACATGCATATAATATGCTAATATTAGTCACTATGCTCTAGACTTGTGTCTTTTACTACATATATTGGTACAGAAGGCTGCCTTTAGGAAGAACTCTGTTGCTGGAAAGCTGACCTTCAACAGCTTACCATCAACAGAGCCTTCCATATCTCCTCAGGAGATGACATTGTTATCATGAATACTACTTATCTACAGAAAATGGGAGCACTTTTACCTATGGCAATACCATTTCTAACAAACAAAGCAAACAAACTAAAGCATTCCTATGTATCACATGCCAGATTCTCAGAAAATGCAGATAAGGTTGCAACCCATGAACTCAGTGTTCCTATGAGACCCATCATCTCGGGCAATGGGAGTTTCCACATGAACTAGGTGGCTTCCTTGCCATATTCCTTTTCAAATTCCTCAGAACTATCAGCAACAGCTGTATTTGTCACTCTGGGAATCTCCTGAACTGTTTAACCAGCCTCAACATTAGAAACATAAAACTAGTGAGTCTGGATTTTTGCATCTCTCTCCTCTTCTGTTCCTACTGACCAAATCGATAAGCTTCTACACTGTCTATTGGCCCTGACACTTGGTTGCTTCTCCCTGCACAGGAGTTTGACTTGATAGCATTGTGTTACCTATAACTTTTTCTTATTTAATGGAGATGGGAAGTACAGTGTCTGCACTGTGAAGGAGGGTTTTTAATGTTGCAGTTTTATAACTGTAGTGTAAGCATGCCTCTGGCAAGACAGTGATGGAGTGAATGATGATGAAAGTTTTTCTTTTTCGGGCCACCCTGCCTTGGTAGGATACGGCCAGTTTGTTGAAAAAAAAAAAAAAATATGGTATAGCTATAGGGCCTCTTGGTGTAGTTCTCACCAGCCTGTGCATAGAGCATCTCGAGCCCAAATATTTCACTGGCATTCTTTTTCCCAACATCACATGGCTTATATATGTGAATGACATCTTAATCATCACTTCCCATTGACACAACCTAGACACTACAAGAATACCTTAACAAAGTGGTATTTTCCATTTAATTCACTCGGGAAGAAGAAAAAGATGGTGTCCCTCTCCTTGTTCTCGATATGATTCATAAGAGTAATCTTTAACTGAATGTGTAGAAGCCCACTAACAAAGATGACCTTATGCATTACTTTTCTCACCATGACTTCAGAATCAAGAGAGGAGTCATCATAGGAGTCTTCTTACAGGCCTTCTGAATGTGTAGCAGCAACCTACTATCTACTTACTACTACCATACAAACTGGGTAAACCCCAGTTTAGGCCAAAATGCTCTCTAATAAAAAATCCTTTCTATCCTGTGTGTGTGACATTCCTCCTGTACTGAAGAAAAGACAGGTGCAAACAAGCTGTTGTTGTGACAATATTTCATTGTTTAAAGCTTTATAGCAGTTAGGAGTGAGAAGGTGATGTACGTAGTAAAATAATATTGCACAAGGAAGTGGACTTCTTGCATAACTCCACTTACTACACCACTGTCCATGTTCTTCCTAGCTCCAATGATATTACCTGACCTCAACTTTGCAGTGAACTCACCTGCTCATACTTAACCTTCAAGATGTATATAGGTATCCTTTGTACTGACTTGATAAGGCTATGTAGAGCATAATGTTGTCAAAGTAAAACCTTGCTCAGCACCTGTTTTTGCCCCAGCAGTATCACTCTACTGTATTACACTATATATTCATGTTTTCCTTTCCAGTTTATTATAAAACTTAAACTTAATCCTCCATTTGGGTTTGCATATTGTTTATTTTCATTATTATTGTATTGCACCAAGCACCTTCTGTGTCAGCATATGCTGCCCATTTAAGTAGGTGAAGGACTCTGTAGCCAGGGGGTTGGAACTATCCACCCCCTTCCTTGATTTGTAGTTAATTACCTTCCAATTCCTATAGGTTTATCACTTACCCATTGACCCTTTCACTGGTACCTTAGTACTACAGCTTAAGAGCCAGTGTTGGTGCCGTAGTACTACAGCTTACAAGCCAGTGTTGGTGCCGTAGTACTAGGCCAAAATTCTAGCGGCTTCAAATCTAGCAGGAGAAAGCTTGGTTGGCCTACATGTGAGAGAATGGGTCTGTGTGGTCAGTGTGTGCAGTATAAAAAAAACCGGGGAGCCAGTGGTGCATTGTGGGAATGCCATTTCAGTAGTCCTTGTTCAGCATGCCTAACGGTAAGAAATATCTGACTCCCCGGCGAAGTTGGGACTCTTCTCTTCCCAAGTGATAGCTCTGACACAGATAGAAGTGTCAGTGAAGATGAATTTCGTAGTTTTGAGGAGTTTGTGACTGAAAGCGATGTCCAGGATACCAGATACAGATAATGAAAGGGAAGGCAGCTGGGGTGGTGGGGAAGGCAGCATGGGTGTTGGGGAAGGCAGCTTGGATGGTGGGGAAGACAGCGTGGATGGTGGGGAAGATGGTGTGGGTGGTTAGGAAGATGGTGTGTAAGTAAGTTTATTCAGGTATACACGAATACAGTTACATAGATTATCATACATAGCAACATGTGTAGAGAACCTAGGATAATCTAAGAAGTCAAAGTGACTTATTTCCAGCATGGGTGGTGGGGAAGACAGTGTGGGTGTGGGGAAGGCAGCATGGGTGGTGGGGAACATGGTGTGGGTGGGGAAGGCTGCATTTGTGGGTTGGGGAACATGGTGTGGGTGGGGAAGGCAGTGTGGGTTTGTGTAAACAAAGTTGGTGAGGAGTATGGAAGAAGTGAATGTTTTCAGATACTTGGGAGTTGACGTGTCGGCGGATGGATTTATGAAGGATGAGGTTAATCATAGAATTGATGAGGGAAAAAAGGTGAGTGGTGCATTGAGGTATATGTAGAGACAAAAAACGTTATCTATGGAGGCAAAGAAGGGAATGTATGGAAGTATAGTAGTACCAATACTCTTGTATGGGTGTGAAGCTTGGGTTGTGAATGCAGCAGCGAGGAGGCGGTTGGAAGCAGTGGAGATGTCCTGTCTGAGGGCAGTGTGTGGTGTAAATATTATGCAGAAAATTCAGAGTGTGGAAATTAGGAGAAGGTTTAGAGTTAATAGGAGTATTAGTCAGAGGGCTGAGGAGGGGTTGTTGAGGTGGTTTGGTCATTTAGAGAGAATGGATCAAAGTAGAATGACATGGAGAGTATTTAAATCTGTAGGGGAAGGAAGGCAGGGTAGGGGTCATCCTCAGAAAGGTTGGAAGGAAGGGGTAAGGGAGGTTTTGTGGACGAGGGGCTTGGACTTCCAGCAGGCGTGCATGAGCATGTTCGATAGGAATGAATGGAGACAAATGGTATTTGGGACCTGACGATCTGTTGGAGTGTGAGCAGGGTAATATTTAGTGAAGGGATTCATGGAAACCGGTTATTTTTATATAGCCAGACTTGAGTCCTGGAAATGGGAAGTACAATGCCTGCACTCTAAAGGAGGGGTTCGGGATATTAGCAGTTTGGAGGGATATGTTGTGTATGTTTATACGTATATGCTTTTAAACTGTTGTGTTCTGAGCACCTCTGAAAAAAAGTGATTATGTGTGAGTGAGGTGAAAGTGTTGAATGATGATGAAAGTATTTTCTTTTTGGGGATTTTGTTTCTTTTTGGGTCACCCTGCCTAGGTGGGAGATGGCCGACTTGTTAAAAAAAAAAAAATTGCAACAGAGACACATTTCAGGATTTGGGGTCCCGGCAGTCAAAGGGTTAAGGCACGGGCTTTAGGGGCTGCAGCCCAGGAGCCTCTGCCAACTGGAAGGCCTCCAGTTGCCAGAGGCCCTCAGTTGACAGAGGCAGTAACTGTGAAAATTGTTCACAGTTACTGCTGTAAGTTTATCATTTTTTTTTTCATCAAACCAGTCATATCCCACTGAGACAGGGTGACCTAAAAAGAAAGCAAAAGTTTCTCTTTTTAAATTTAGAAATGTATACAGGAGAAGGAGTTACTACCCCCCTCGCTCCTGGCATTTTAGTCACCTCTTATGACATGCATGGCTTATGGAGGAAGAATTCTGTTCCAATTTCCCATGGAGAAAGTTTATAATTATAGTACATGTATGTTATTACATCACATATATGATGAACTGTTGATTGTATTTGATAGAGATTTAATATTGGATCTCTATAAGGAAGGCATTATTCAATTTGCTAAGGTCTTATAGTATAGTGTCATTGTGTCAGCATGTCAAGCCTAGCGGCAAAGGCTTGCCTTCCTTTTTATATGATTTTCGTTTTACCATTTTTTAATGATTGCTGAGTTAAGTTTAACATTAATCATGTGCATTTTGCCAGTATGTTATTGTGTTACTGTGTGTTAATAGCATAAATAACTTTTTATGCAAATAACTGGGGGCCTCAAAGTACCTGTAGTCCAGAGGACTACAATATCTTAATCTGGCTCTGCTTACAGAGGAAGGATTCCTCTCCATGGATAAATAATAATAATAATAATAATCATATGCTGAGCAGTTTATTCTAATGGTATTTTTTTTTCTACCTTTGCTTGTTATGTTAAATGTCACCAGTGAAAGCTGGCTTACTTCATATAACTTGTATTAGATTTCACTTTAAATGCTTACCTTCTAGTAATGGTACGGAGTGTATGTGGTCTGAGCAGTCTAGTATCAGGTCCTCTAGTGTCGACTGTGGAAGAGCGCTTACATCACATCCAAGGAACCACACAACAGTTAAAACAAGAATCAAAGTACCTCAGAAACCTTCTCCAAGAAAATAAAATTGATGTTCCGACTTAATGCTCAACACGTATATGCTATTGTCTGATAATTTTATAGGTATACTTGTGACATTCATGTGCCTTTTCATTTACATTTCAATGTTTTAGTTTTTATTAATGACAGCCTTATACATCTGAAAGCTTAATTCTTCTGTGTTGCTTTAAATAAAAAAAATTTATGCAGGAAGTTTGACATGACACTCAATAGTATATCAAAGGCAATTCTATGAATAATTATCGGCAAAGAATTATGTAAATAGTAGTTATAGTATAGTATAGTACATACTTAATAGAACTGTATGACAAAACATGATATAAAATATAGAACATGGCTCATCTTGTTTTCAACACTCTTTACATTCAGGTGAAGATGATATAATTTAATATGAAAAAGGTGCTGGAATCTGGAAATTGATAAAGATTGCAGTATTTTATTCTTAACTATCTCAAAATGCTTATTATTCTATTAGTAGTAGGTCTTTGCTGATTAATTATATTTTCATGACCGATCAAAAGTTGGTTACAGTGGTACCTTGACTTATGAGTTTAATTTGTTACATGACCAAGCTCGTAACTCAATTTGCTCGTATATCAAATCAGTTTTCCTCATTGAAATTAATTGAAATGCCATTAATCCATTACAGTGAAATTCCTGGCTCTCAGGAGGCAGGAGAAAATACTTCAATATAACACTAATATAAACTCTATGGCTTATTTATCTATCACAATTGATCTAATATGACATAATAAACAATATAAATAACATAGAAACATGATATATACTCTAGAATAAATCAAATGCCATTATGTGACAAGTGGTGGCAGCCACTTGTCACGTAATGACATTTGAGGTAAAAACAATTATCGCTCTGACCATATCTTCCCATTCTTGCCCTTCTGAGGTCTTATTATAAGAGAAAATGAAGTGTTTGTGAGGTTAAGCACACTAGATCACTGGTTTCATGAGGAAAATACTGAAACAAAAGCGATTTTCACATGTTTTTCTATGATTTCATGCTTTAATTCAATGGACATCATCCTCCTCCTCTTTTCAGCGCTGTCCTTTGCACTTTCTTTCTTAGGACTCATGGTTAGAAAAAAGAAATTTGGCAAAATAATTGCACAAAACGCTGGGATGTTGGGCAGATGTTGTGGCATTCGCTGCGCCAACTAGTGGCAACTTATCTGAAGCTTGCCTGTAACTCGGAAAACTCGTAAGTTGGGGCACTTGTAGGCCAAGATACCACTGTACATATTTCAAATTGCCTTCAGTAGTGTGTGTGTGTGTGTCTTACTGCATATTCTGTATTGTAATTTCACCATAATACATATGTAAGTACATACAGTTTAAATTTGCTGTAATAAAAATACCACTATACAATTAACAGAACTGAAATGAGGACTAGTGTGCATTTACACACATTTCTGAGGAAGACACAGTACCTCTGAAAATGTGTATAAATGTAAGTGCTCAAGTTGTAACTATTTCTGGTCTGTTAATTTTTCTCTGTGGTAATATTTCATATTGGTGTCACCCATTTTATAGTTATTTCCAGACATACAGTAAAGCCTCTGTTTAATGGATTTTGGATTGAGCAAGAGAGAAATTCAGACAATGGAATAAATAGATTGTTTCCAGAATTACAGATTATATTGTTACAATCATGGCAAAATAAAGTCTCAACAATATTTAGATTTAACAGACATTGGCATTACTGGACACCTTCTTCCTGTTAGTCCATTAAATCGAAGTTTCACTGCTAATGATTTTTAATGAAGATTTTTCTCACTGACTACAATACTTTATACTTACCTTATGACTGATATTAGCTTTTTTAAACTAGGTTCTATCTCTGGATTGTCCTTGGTGGGATGGAAGTGCTGCTTTTATATTGTAAAAAAATCATTAGATAATTAAGATGATCTTTGGAAAATACTGTACTATCTGGTGCACACTTCAATGATATTTTCATTTTTGGTTTTAAATTTTTTGGTTAGCTTTATCCCTTTTTTGTGTATGTAATTGTTTATTTTGGAGTGTGAGCAGGGTAATATTTAGTGAAGGGATTCAGGGAAACCGGTTATTTTCATATAGTCGGACTTGAGTCCTGGAAATGGGAAGTACAATGCCTGCACTTTAAAGGAGGGGTTTGGGATATTGGCAGTTTGGAGGGATATGTTGTGTATCTTTATATGTTTATGCTTCTAGACTGTTGTATTCTGAGCACCTCTGCAAAAACAGTGATAATGTGCGAGTGTGGTGAAAGTGTTGAATGATGATGAAAGTATTTTCTTTTTGGGGATTTTCTTTCTTTTTTGGGTCACCCTGCCTCGGTGGGAGACGGCCGACTTGTTGAAAAAAAAAAAAAAAAAAAAAAAAAAAAAATTGTTTATTTATTATAAACTAATATCATAACGACACAAATGTATATTAACAAACGTTCAGTTTTAAGAGGCAGATCATCTAACACCATTGTCAGATGACTGCTGTGGTTCACATCCTAGGGAACAAGATTTACCTAGGTTACCCAAAATACTCTGCATAACAAGGGACTTTTTGTATAGTATGCCAATGATTTCAGCAAGGTTTGTAATAGTTGTATCATGTATTAGTAGAAATAAAGATTTTTACTATTATTATTTTTAACACATTGGCTGATTCCCACCGAGGCAGGGTGACCCGAAAAGAAAGAAAAAACTTCCATCATTCAACACCTTCACCATCACTCATACATAATCACTGTCTTTGCAGAGGTGCTCATATGTGACAGCTTAGATGTCCCTCCAAACTGCCAATATCCCAAACTCCTTTAAAGTGCAAGCATTGCACTTCCCATTTCCAGGACTCAAGTCCGGCTAACTGGTTTCCCTGAATCCCTTCACACAATATTACCCTGCTCATACTCCAACAGCTTGTTAGGTCCCAAAAACCATTTGTTTCCATTCACTCCTATCTAACATGCGCACACATACTTACTGGAACTCCAAGCCCCTTGCCCACAAAACCTCCTTTACCCCCTCCCTCCAACCTTTTTGGGGATGACCACTACCCCACCTTCCTTCCCCTACATGCCCCTATATGCTCTCCAAGTCATTCTACTTTGTTCCATTCTCTCTAAATGACCAAACCACCTTAACAGCCCCTCTTCAACTCTCTGACTAATACTTTTAGTAACTCCGCACCTCCTCCTAATTTCCACACTCCGAATTCTCTGCATAACATTTACACTACACATTGACCTTAGACAAGACATCTCCACTGCCTCCAGCCACCTCCTCGCTGCAGCATTTACAACCCATGCTTCACACCCATATAAGAATGTTGGTACCACTATACTCTCGTACATTCCCTTCTTTGCCTCTATGGATAACGTTCCTTGTCTCCACAAGCCTTCATAAACCCATCTGCTGACAAATCAACTACCAAATATCTGAAAACATTCACTTCTTCCATACTCCCCCCCTCCAATGTGATCCAGTTTTTCTTTATCCAAATTGTTTGATACCCTCATCACCTTACTCCCTTACTCTTATCTATGTTCACTTTCAACATTCTACCTTTACACACCCTCCAAACTCATCCACTAACCTTTGCAACTTTTCTTTAGAATCCACCAAAAGCACAATATTATCATCAAAAAGTAACTATGTCAACTCCCATTTTGTATTTGATTCCCCATAATTTAATACCACCCCTCTCCCCAACACCCTAACATATACTTCTTTTACAATCCCATCTATAAATATGTTAACCATGTTGACATTACACATCCCTGTCTAAGACCTACTTTTCCTGGAAAGTAATTTTCCTCTCCTACACACCCCAACCTGAGCCTCACTATCCTCATAAAAACTCTACAGCATTTAGTAACTTACTACCTTTTCCATACACTTGCAACATCTACCACATTGCTCCCCTATCCACTCTGTCATATGCATTTTCCAAGTCCATAAATGCAATGAAAATTTCCCTACCTTTATCTAAATAGTGTTCATATACATGCTTCAGTGTAAACACCCAGTCTAAAGCCTCCTTGCTCAACTGCAGTCCTGCTCTCTGTCTTACTTCTAATTCTTGCAATAATAACCCTACCATATACAGTGGACCCCCGCTTAACGATCACCTCCAAATGCGACCAATTATGTAAGTGTATTTATGTAAGTGCGTTTGTACGTGTATGTTTGGGGGTCTGAAATGGACTAATCTACTTCACAATATTCCTTATGGGAAAAAATTCGGTCAGTACTGGCACCTGAACATACTACTGGAATGAAAAAAGTTCGTTAACCGGGGGTCCACTGTATGTATTTTATCTGGTACGTATACTCAGTAAACTTTTTTTTTTTTCAACAAACCGGCCGTATCCCACTGAGGCAGGGTGGCCCAAAAAGAAAAACAAAAGTTTCTCTTTTTAAATTTAGTAATCTATACAGGAGAAGGGGTTACTAGCCCCTTGCTCCCGGCATTTTAGTCGCCTCTTACAACATGCATGGCTTACGGAGGAAGAATTCTGTTCCACTTCCCCATGGAGATAAGAGGAAATAAACAAGAATAAAAACTAGAAAAAAATAGAAAAAACCCAGAGGGGTGTGTATATATATGCTTGTACATGTATGTGTAGTGTGACCTAAGTGTAAGTAGAAGTAGCAAGACATACCTGAAATCTTGCATGTTTGTGAGAGAGAAAAAAAGACACCAGCAATCCTACCATCATGTAAAACAATTACAGGTTTCCATTTTACACTCACTTGGCAGGATGGTAGTACCTCCCTGGGTGGTTGCTGTCTACCAGCCTACTACCTATAACTCAGTAAACTTATCTCCCTATAATTTTTACAATCTTTTTTGCTCCCCCATCCCTTTATGTAAAGGAATTATACACGGCCTTTGCCAATCCCTATGTACCTTCCCCTCTTTCATACATTTATTAAACAAAAATACCAACCACTCCAACACTACATCTCCCCTTGCTTTTAACATTTCTGTCATGATCCCGTCAGTTCCAGCTGCTTTACCCCCTTTCATTCTACGTGATGCCTCGTGCATTATTATTATAAAGAACAGTAATACAGGCTCAGAACCACTGTTGATAGCATATGGTGTTCCCCCACAGAAGTATTCGGGATCTTTTTTGTTTTTATGTTATGTGAACCCCTCAAGGGAGGTTCCTTGATGCTGGTGAGGGGCTCTTGATCTAGGGAATTGGACCTGTGCTTCAGTTCCCTGAATTAAACCTGAATACCTCTCCCCCCCCAGGTGCTATATAATATACCTATGGGTTTAGTGCTTCCCCATGATTATAATATGTTATGTGAATGACATGCTCTTCAG